ACTATGTAGCCTTTGTGGCCATGATCTACCAAATTTGGAAGATCCGTAATGATGCTTTCTGGGATCAGAAGGTTATGATCCTGAGATTTTGCATAAAAAATAGTATAGATATTGTTAAAAATTGTGTTGTTAGAATAGATTGCGACAAAATATCATTAAGAGATAGTACTTGGTATAGAAACCTAACAAATAGCTAATTACTTTATTGGCTTCGGCTGGATCTATTGGACCTTGTTAGGTTTTTTTATTAATAAAATTTCTGATTTATCAAAAAGAAAAAAAGTAAAACAAAAACAAGAAATTGTATAGTTGTCTTAGTAAAACAAAAACTGTAAAAATTGCCAATTCTGGGTGTTGAACTCGCACCAGTAAAATGATATTTCAAACCACTGCCCCTTCCCCCTAAGCCAAGCTTCAACACAATATTGACATAAATTTATTTATAAAATATTTTTTTGAGAAGTAAAATAATTACATACCCTTACAAGATTATCACAAACACTTATACTTTTTGAGAAGTATACAAATTAAAAATAAGAAGAGCAATGTTACTAAATTTATAAAAGTAATACAATATTTAATATTGTATAAAATATCTAACAAATTAATTTATTTTTCAACGAAATTGAAAAAAGATATTTAAAAATATTTAACCTCCAAATATATACATGTTATTTGTTAAAAATTGCGTCTATGGAGTATTTCTAAAATATTAGACAACTATACATATTTATTAAATGAACAATGAAAATCAAATTCATATTTATTTAACATTTATAAATATGATGTATTTGTTAAATATTATTTTGTGGATACAAATATAAAGATGATTAATGGAAAATAGAGAAAATTAAATATTGATATGATTATTATGATATTCACCACACATATGAAAATATAATTGATTCGAAAATATTAAAAATATTTTAAAAATAGGTCATGAATTTTCCATTTAAATTTAATATAATAAACATTATATTATAAATATTTTGAATTATATCTAAATTAAAATAAAATAAATTAAAAGATAATTATAAAAAAATGATATAAGAATAAAACAAGTGTTCTTTCTTTAAAAAAAATTTATAAATAAATTTATCAGACAAGTTTTTATTTTATCATCTCCTAAATAGTTTTTAAAAATAAAATTATCAAATATACTTATTTTATTTTATTTTTCATTTTTTTTAAGATTAATTATTAAAATAATTTTTAAAGTTTAAAAATTAAAAATTCATTCAAAGATGCTCTGATGTCATAAATTCGAATTCTCACTACTTTTACAAACCGATTGAAACTACAAAACTTTAAATTGAATTAACTAGATCAACCAGTAAGAGCATCCACATCCATCATCTCTTCATGGGTTCTTTAAATGGGATCCACTTAATTTTTTATATTATATCACACTTTCACATTTTCTAAACAACTCAACTACATTTTTTAAATATCCATACAACCCATCAAAAATTTTAAAATGGATCCCACCAAATCTTACAATATATTAATATTTATGGTTTGTAACAATTTCCATTAATGATATAATCATTACTTTTTTACACTTGGCAAAAAAAATCAGTTAGAGAGCGTGGTTAAATAAGAGAACATGCATGAATGTAGGAACGCTACTTTTTCTCAATTATCCAAATATTAAAAACAAATTTATTAAAAACTGTGTAGCAACGACACTTTGTCAGCCGATAATTATGCTCTAAGTACCTACACTCCAACCACAATACTAATTTTTAATTACTCAATTTATAGATAATTAATTGTTTCATGGGTTGGTTGGATCGAGTTTGATCAAATTAAATGTTCAACTCAATTAATAGTATTTAGTTTAGATTGAATGTTAATCTCATATTTTCAAAATTTGATTCGAATCAAACTAGCTCGAATATCAATAGATTGGATTGGGATGAGTTCGTGGATCATCCATTAATTATAATTTTAAAATTCTAAATACAATATTAATTCAATTAACACATTGATTTTATATCAACGTTAAAAAATCATAAAATTTTAATATTTAATTTAAACAAAAATGTATCATTTAATACGTAAAACTCTTCCACAATTCAAATCAAGTTCAATAATAAATCAAAATTGAGTAAAATATAATGTAAAGATTAAGATGTCTTTCAAAATTGATTTATATATATATATATATATATATATATATATATATATATATATATATATATATATATATATATATATATATATATATATATATATATATATATATATATATATATATATATATATATATAATTGCAAGACATCTCAATGAGTTAGATTTGCAGGTTCGAAGATTGAAAATTTCTAACATGTTACTCGAACGAAAACCAATGGGTTTGAATATTTTGGTTTGGGTTAGATTCGTACACGATTGGGTTGGATAAAAGTAAGGGTTAAATTCGGTTGAGTGAATGGATTCACGATATTGGCCCCTACCCGTGAACACCTCTACTAACCATTATTCAATCTATATTTAGTGGGGATACTCTTTATACCCTTATGTATTATATCACACCACCATGAAAAGTCTATTATGTCCCTAGCATTCGGAGATGCATCTCTGAACGCGTCTATTTTTGCCATTTCTCATACCAAATTGAAGAGACACCTCTTTTACATTTAAAATTAATCTAGAGATGCATCTCCATATGTGTCAAAAACGCATCTAAAGATGCATCTCGTAAAGACAATTTATTTAAACAGTTGTGGATGGTCCAAAGATGCATTTCTGGACGATTTTTATACATATTATGCGCTAGACCTTTCCCTATACCTCTTTCTTCATTTTCTAAAAAGCTTTCAAAATAACTCATTTGAGTTCTACAACTATTTTACCTCTGCATCCATTCAATCAAGCTTATATTATTGGAGCTCTTTTCAGCATCTCATAACATCCAAACTTATCATTCAAATCAATCAATATCATTTGTTTATTTTTCTTAAAATTTGTGTTCCTTTTTATATTTTGATTTGTAGTTAGTTTTTAAGTTGCATTAGTTGTTTTAGGTATATTAGGTAGTGGTGTAAACGAAATAGGTTGGGTAGAAGAACATGCATCGAGCTTTTTTGAGACTTGTAGGGCAGAAAAAAGGATTCTTCCATGGGAGACCATTACAAGTTTTTTCGGAGATGTATCTCAAGGATGAATCATATCTCATTTCCTTTGCATCTCAGAGTCTGGACATGCGGCTACCTACAATTAGAATTGGGCACATACAAGTGCATTTGTTCTGTATAGAGGGAATGGTGTTTTCGAGCCATTCAGAGTCTCTCTTGGTCGTATGGTACCAGATGACATTTTCTTTTGCCCATATGAGGGTCACCGCCAAACACTTCAGTTTGACGTTATCTCCTTATACTCCAAATGGATAGCATGTGTGTCATCTCTTATGTATCATTATCTTGCTAGAGTGGTCAATGCACGAGTTTGGCTACAAGTAGTTCATTTTGAGATCTTCCTATGATGCTGCTTCTCTCGGTATCCACTACAGGGATCTTGATGCTATACTAGATGATTTCAAGAGTCACATCGTACCAGAGGAGTATCTTCGGGTGTCAAATCCATTTCAATGGACTTATGCCAAGAGCTACATGACATGGTTCTATAGGGTGTCACACCCTATCATGATACCAAACACTCCTGGAAACCCACATAGGCAAACTAACATGGATGTACTCGACGTTCAGGATAAGAAGGTCGAGAGGTTGATGAAGGTTTTTCAACATGTTGTAGAGATGGGTAGAGGAGTCATAGAGACAAGACTCTCTTAGGATAACACTCTCGAGTTGGCCCTCGTGGAGACCATGATTACTGAGTTATAAAATGCAGTGTAGTACAGGCAGCAAAGGAGGTAGGGGTAAGACATACCCAGTAGTTAGTTTATGTTTGGATTCGTTAATTTGTTTTGTATTTTTGGACAAATATTATGTATGGCGTTGACTATTTAGATTAATGTTTGAATTTTATTTTCATTTAACTTTAATATAATTTCATTTTACTTGGATTTTACTATAATATAAGTTGGCTGCAAGAAATTACGATGTTTGAAATGGTGTTGCTCTGAAATAGTTCAGAAGGGTTTCTAGAGATGCATCTCCGAAATAATTTACCCTTGCAATTAGCACGCTTCCAACTCCTTTTCAAGGACTTCAGGAGAATTTTTAGATATGTATCTCCAGATATACTCAAATAATATACAGAGATGCATCTCTGGATCATATTGTGTTCATATGGGGTGGATCTTAGATAGCGCGGTTTTTCAATGAGCATTGAGTTATCTATAGAAGACTCTTTGGGCTTGATCCTAAAAGCCCAAATGCCATTTTCATCATTCCATGATTAGAATCATGAGCTTAGTAAAATACTTACTTTCCCTTAAATTTTGGAGAAGAAGGTTATCCTCCTTGACTTTCTCTCTAAATTTGTTGTAGTAGGTCACGTCACTGCCCACGTTTGTTGAGGACTTAGTAACTGGTTCATATAGGCGTGTGATGTCCATTAGAGCGACTTACTTCAAATGTCGACTTTTGGGCCATTTTGAGCAACCTGAGGTCGATTATGACAACTCGCCCCCGACCATTCATTTGTATCCAAATACTCGTTTATGGACTATCCTAGCCTAGCAAAGGCCCAATAAAATTATATCGATACAATTATATATATTTTAAAACAATATAGTTAACAAAAAAAAATCTATTGTTTAAAAAAACATAATTAACAAAAAAAAAAGTTTTTTTACACTATTCTCTCTCTCTTTTTTTTTCTTTTTTAAAGGAGATCTACCCAAACCATTTTTTTAACACTCTGGTCAATATCATCTTATAGTACTCACGCTTTTCTAAATATGCCGTGTGCACTAGTCAAAGACGAGAATATTGAACGTTTAAAACAAGAAGAAGATTATCATACATAAAGAGATGAAAAATAATGCACATGTCTTCTTTTTTTATGTTAACAAAATTTATACATTCCTACCGTAATGAGTTTTAGCAAGTTCCAAAATTTGATTTCATTTTTCAACTTCATCACATTATTACTATGTTGTTCTTCATTCACCACATCATCATCACAACAATTCATGAAAGACAATGAAACTCTAAGCTCAAATAGTGGAAATTTCACCTTAGGATTCTTCACCCCTCAAAACTCCACAGATCGCTATGTAGGAATTTGGTGCAAAACTCAAGACTTTGTTATATGGGTTGCTAACAGAAACCAACCATTGATCAATGATTCTTCTGGAGTTCTTACAATATCAAATGATGGAAATCTTGTTGTGTTGAATGGACAAAAAGATGTTATTTGGTCATCAAGTTTGACGAATGTTACATCAAAAACGAATTCTAGTTTCACACTTTCAGATTATGGAAACCTTGTTTTGTCTGAAACAACAACAGGAAGTACAATATGGGAGAGTTTCCAACATCCTTCAAATGCATTATTAGCAAGCATGGTGTTTACAAGTAACATGAAACTCACATCATGGAAAAACCTTTCTGATCCATCCACCGGAAGCTTCTCTCTCAGTATCGAACGGTTGAAGATTCCAGAAGTTTTCATTTGGAAGGGAACTCGTCCCTACTGGCGAAGTGGTCCATGGAATAATCAAATCTTTATAGGGATACAAGACATGGAAACTCTTTATCTTAACGGTTTTCATTTCGAGAAAGACAGGACGACAGGAACCGTTGATTTGTCTTTCAGAGCAGACGACTTCGGACTCTTGATCTATGCCTTGAATCCGCAAGGTCAAATGCATGAAAACTCTTGGAGTATTGAGGAAGAGAAATGGATAGATACATGGACTAGTTATAGATCAGATTGTGATGTCTATGGATTTTGCGGTCCATTTGGAATTTGCAATTCAAAAGGTTCACAGATTTGTAGCTGTTTGGAAGGGTTTGAACCAAGAAACAATCAAGAGTGGAATCAAAAAAATTGGACTAATGGGTGTGTTAGGAAGAAACTTTTACAGTGTGAAAATGCCAAAAATCAAAGCAAGAGTTCACATGGGAATGAAGCAGATAGTTTTTTGAAATTGAGTATGGTAAAAGTACCCGATTTTGCAGAATTTTCGTCTAATGAACGAGATGAATGCAAAAACAAGTGTTTGATGAATTGCTCTTGTACTGCATATTCGTACGTGGATGATATCGGTTGTATGTCTTGGAATGGAAATCTAATTGATATACAACAATTCAAAACCGGAGGAACTGATCTATACGTTCGCGTACCCTATGTCGAGCTTAACATATCAGGTAATATTAGTTGTTAACTTGTTATGTTAGTATATTCTCCTTTATCAGACGTTATTCTTTTGACATTTTATCCTTCCCTGATTACAGATAAAGGGCATAAAGGAACAATCATCATTGCAGTTTCAGTTTCGATAGGAATTATCTTGATTGTGATTGTTGCGTATTTCATTTGGATAAAGGATTCAAAACCAGGTAAGTATCATTGTTGTGGAATAAGGAATAACACATGTTTGATTTTTGCCTCTGCTAAACTGTGATACTTGAATGATTCATGCAGAGAGAAAAAAGAAGCATCATAGGATTTTTCGTTTCCACAAAATCGAAAAACCTGAGGAACAGTCAAGTGAAAATGTAATTGGTGAATTGTCACAAGCTAAACTACAAGAGCTATTGCTATATAAATTTGAAAAGCTTGCAACTGCTACAAACAACTTCCACTCATCCAATAAACTTGGACAAGGAGGTTTTGGTCCTGTATACAAGGTATGTAAAATCGAGAAAAAGTTCATATTGTTTTAAGTCATTAGTTGCTTAAAAGTTTTTATATATTCTATTCTAGGGAATACTACAAGATGGTAAGGAAATAGCGGTTAAAAGACTTTCGATATCATCCGGACAAGGGTTAAAAGAATTCATGAATGAAGTAGTAGTGATTTCTAAGCTTCAACATCGCAACCTTGTAAGGCTTTTAGGCTGTTGTACTGAAAGAAATGAAAAGATGTTGATGTATGAGTTCATGCCAAATGGAAGTTTGGATGCATATATCTTCGGTTAGTTTTTTTGAAACATTTCACAACTTACTTTATTAATCAAAAGAATTGACAGTAGTTTCACCTCTAGTAAGTATTCTTGAAAGCACTCTAGGAAGAAGATTTTGATGCATCTTCAGGTATGTTCTAAGTAGTATGCTGTTATGATTTTAATTTTTATAGATCCTTCAAGAAATAAACTCTTGGATTGGGAGAAACGATTCAGCGTAATTGAAGGAATCGCTCGTGGACTACTCTATCTACATAGAGATTCTAGGCTAAAAATTATACATAGAGATTTGAAGGCGAGTAATATCTTACTAGACGTGGAAATGAATCCAAAAATATCGGACTTTGGTATGGCCAAAATCTTTGAAGTGAGTGAAGATCATGCCAACACACAAAGGATTGTCGGAACATAGTAAGTTCACCGTCTTGTCTATCTGTCATTATACATCAACTGTTAGAACAGTGATCCTACTTTAAGAGAATAATGAATCGAAAAACACAAACATTGAGTAGACAATGTTTGATAACGAAGTTTAACCAATTGTACAACCAACTAGTAGTTAAATACTACCGTTCATATTTCAACATTAACCATGAGTCAATTTTTATATTTCAATGCAGCGGTTATATGGCTCCAGAATATGCAATGCAAGGAGTATTTTCCGATAAATCAGACGTCTTCAGCTTTGGAGTTTTGCTGATAGAGATTGTTTGTGGAAGACGAAACTCAAGCTTTTACGAACATGAAAATTCTTTGACTCTCTTAGGATTTGTAAGTCTATACAAATAGATATACATGTTAATATTGAAATCATATAAATTTTGTAAATTTTTTCTGATAAAACTAAGTTCAAATTGACTTTTGCTTTTGATTATAGGCATGGACTCAATGGAGGGAAGGAAATATTTTATGTTTAATAGAACCAGAAATATATGATGATAATCATCATAAGGATATTTTGAGGTGCATACATATAGGACTTTTGTGTGTACAAGAATCAGCTGTTGACAGACCTACTATGGCAACAGTGATTTCTATGCTTAACAGTGAAATTATGGAACTTCCTCCTGCAAGACAACCTGCATTCCTACTGATGCAGAATATGATGCATACAGTGTTTTCTGAAGAAAGAAATGAAGTGTATTCCAATAATGTTGTGAGTATTACAGACCTTCGTGGAAGGTAGAAGAATATTGAAGATTTTTGTAAATAATGCATTGGCGGTTATTATTGGTATAGTTTGAATTTTGTATATTTACAATAGACATATAAAATTATTTGATTCATGTTCCGTTATGTTTCATTAATTTAAACAAAACTCACCTGTTCGACTAATGAGCTTCAAAATATATCTTCTAACGCAGAAGTTAATTGAAACACAATTTTAAATGACATTTTACAATTTTGTTAAAAGTTGGCATAAGTCATGCCAAAACCAACCCGTAATAGTATATACTAAAAACCTCGAGAAATTTAGCATGAAACACCAATACCAAACAAATTGATTCATTGATTCACCTGAATCTCAACGCCAACACCTACATTGATTCACCTCATTCGTTACTTCAAACTGTATTCGCTTTCCAAAAACTTGTATCAGTTCAGTTTTCGTTCAATTGTTTGTACACTAATTTAGCGATGCTCCGTATCTATTCTTTGAAGCACCAAAGACACATTGATGTGTTAAACAGTAAATTGCTTCAACTCAATTTCATGTTTTTAAATTCTTTGAATTAAGAATTTTATTTCTGACTAAAAAGAACGCATGAAAACATCATGATTGATGTAAGTATGTTTACACATAACCAATTATTAACTGCTAAGATTTTCAAGTGATATATACAAAATGTAGGTTTTCTACAGCAATTAGGAGAAAGGGTGATTTGTCTGATTTCCCTTTTTGATTGATGTCAAAAGATTTAGTGCTGGTTTATGCAGGTACTGCACAGACAATAAACAGCTGGCCCTCCAAAAATTGCATCCATGTAAGAAGGAGAAGAGATCATGTTACTAGCAGAGACATATTCTTGCAAAATGTGCAAGGACTATTGCCTTTATTTCTATGAATGACATTGGCAATGGCAAAATACACGCACTTGACTTTATATAAACTTGAGTGATGATGACTTAATACAGGGGAGAAAATCAGGATGAAGATTCTCTAACATCTTGTACCAAGGTAGGATAAATCCAAATTTATATTTATTTATTTTTGGTTATTCTCTAACATCTGCTACCAAGGTAGAATAAAAAGAATTGAAAATTCAATATCTATAACTAATAAACCGGTAAGTAGTCTATAATTTTCCAAGTTCTAATATAATTTTCAATTGTTCCAAAAGAAAATATAAACCTCTTAGTTTCCTATCTACCGTGGATGTCTGAAATACTGACTGAGTTGATAGAGTACAACCCATCATCGCATTCCTCACACGACACCGTGCTCAGCATATTCTGCCTCAGGACAAATGCAGGTTTCTTTGGAGGAGGAAGATCTACAATCTCACTATTAAGCATAGAATTTACAACAGCCATAGTTGGTCTGTCTATTGAAAATTCCTTACACACAGGAGTCCTATGTGTATGGACCTACAAATGGATTTATAATGGATATGATCATATATTCCTGGATCTATCACAGGTAAAATATTGTCTTCTGTCCATTGTATCCACACCTATATTGAAAAACAAATGTCCATCATTTGAGGAAGCTGCAAAACATCCAAGATTGAGTTCGATAAGAATTAAGAGACTCAGGAATCCTAAAAGGGTCAGAGAATTCTCGCAGTTATAAAAGCTTGAATTTCGTCTTCCACTAATAATCTCAAGAAGCAATACTCCAAAGCTAAAGACATCAGATTTATCTGAAAAGAGTCCTTGCATTGCATATTCTGGAGACATATAACCACTGCATTGAAGTGTAAAGACGATTGAATTTTCAAGTATGCTACCATAACCCTGAACAATGAAAAAGGTATATCCGTATACTTACTAAGTACCAACAACTCTTCGAGTATTTTCTTGAACTTCATTCCCTCCAAAGATTCTGGCCATACCAAAGTCTGATATTTTTGGATTAAGCTCATTATCTAGCAAGATATTACTTGCCTTCAAATCTCTGTGTATAATTTTTAGCCTGGAATCTCTATGAGATACAACATTCAAGTTTAACCTCCAAGCTCAAATCGGAGACAAAACAAACGATAAAGTAGTGTCAAAGACTAACCAAAGAGAAACGCATCCAAACTTTTATTTGGCATGTACTCGTATATCAACATCTTTTCCTCCCCTTCAACACAGCAGCCAAGAAGTCTAACAAGATTGCGGCGTTGGAGCTTGGAAATCACAACTACTTCATTCATGAATTCTTCTAGACCTTGTCCAGATGCTTTAGAAAGTCTTTTAACCGCCATTTCCTGACCATCATGCAGTGTCCCCTGGAAAAGAAATGAAGATATAACTAATATAATTAATGATCTCATATATGCTTCATGTTATTATGATATATGGTGAATTTTAGTTTTCATAAGTGACCACTAATATTCAACAAAACTGTTTGATGTGTGTCTTTGCAGATACGTAATGGAATTTTCTTGTTGTATGGTTCATTGTCATGGAATTTTCTAAAACTGATTTTATTGAATTTGGACTCTAAAATATATAAAATATTTGATTTTAGCTCTTCGATATTACAAATTTAAACGAAAAAAACAATAATTGTTTTAGAATGAAGGATAAGCAAAACTTAAACATTACTTAGCTCTGTCTAACAAAGAAAATCACACAATACTTTTCTATGCAGGATTAATGCACTATTGAAGTGTCCTTAAAAGTCATAAGTAGTTGTTGTAATTAAAGTCTGTGTATACAACTTTAGTCAAAATAAATTGAAGACTGCCTCAAAATCAAATTGAAAATTTTGCATTCTAAATCTAAAAGAATTTTTTTAGGTAAGATTTTGACCTACACGATATGCGGATGTAGGTTTATTAATATTTTTGAATTGAAAGTTTCAATTAAGGTTAAAATATTTTTTGGATAGAACTCGTCTCATGTATGTCTGAAGGACTCGTCTCAGATATGTCTGAGGGACTCGTTCAAATGAGGAGGCGATTAGGCTAAATGTCTTTGTCCCCTTTCAAGCTCTCATGCTTGAGGGACTATGTATTGGTATATTCGTAAATGACCCACAAGAGACGGTGTAAGAGTCCTTTTATTAATACACTCGTCCGTTTATGGAAACAAGGGGAGTGACGTGTTCCAACCCATAACGGTATGGGAGAGGATGTCGAGAAGAGGAAGACACGTTCTCTAAAATAATAGGGGGAATGACTATCCATTTCCCACGCTCCTAAGAGAGAAAAGTATTTTACTCTTTTCTGGGAGTCTAAGATCAAATCCTAAGAGATCCCTATAAATACCTCAACCCTAAAGTTGAAAAGGAAATTGTCATAAACACCGGTATACATAACTTCTCACCGTCCTTGTGTGAATTTGCTCTAATACCATAACAATCCTAAAACTCTCGAGCAACCCTACAAAGCTAGGGGTTATCCTTTATTGTACTTTTTAACAAGTACAAATTGTTTGATGAACTTTTTTTTGTTAGAAATATACTTAAGAAAATGGTCAGAATGAATGTACGAACACTTTATAAAGTGATTCTAAGTATTATAACCAACAAACAACTAATCACAAATAATCTAAACTACCTTAAACAAGATCAACAAATCTCAAACTATGTCTAGACAATTGCTCTAATTTAGTTAGTATTCACGACTCGGTTGGATTTCTTGATAAACTTGTCTTATTGAGTGCTCAAGGATGCATCCAACTAGAAGTTTGGGTACACAACATCAACTTGCTCAAGGATTTCTTGATAAACTTGTCATATTTCCGCCTCTGTTTCACATCAGGTAAGGCAAGAAGAAAAACAAACACTCTTGTGCTGCTGCTAGGAGTCTCAAAATCACAATTATATATGTGTGTAACTAGTCGAGAGGCCTGTGATAAGACCAGGTCCTGCAAAAAGGCCAAAATTTGAATGGAAAATAGGGTTAGAGATACATACATGGGAAGTCCACCATAGAAACCACGTGCATATTAAGAGCAAGGGAAATAACAAATAAACTACAATGATGCATAAATTATGATTTAACTTATCTGCACACCTTATTGTAACATGGTACAAGACCTTAGAGTATCTTCATATCCTCTCAATTTTCCTTCCTTGCACACCTATAATAAGAACTAGTGAAATATCTATACAAATACTGATGTATTATGCATATTTATTTTTAAAATATAATAAAATGAATTAAAAAAAAAAAATTTATTTAATTAAAAATTTACTATTTTTAAAAGACGATAAGTCTGTGTCTATAATTTTGTTCATATATAAAAATATTTTAATCAAAATATATTTTTTTCACATATATAAATATTATTTTTATTTTAATATTATTTATATAAATATTTGAATCAATAATAAACTTATTCTCATATATATCTTTTAATTTAATATTTAGTAAGATCTAATCAAATCTATTTTAACAACTAATCAAACAAATAAAATCAATTATACACCTTTAAAATTGTTTATAATTTTTTAAATTATAAACTGAAGACACACTTATCAAAATTTTAATATATATATATATATATATATAATCATATATATATATATATATATATATATATATATATAATATATATATATATATATATATATATATATATATATATATATATATATATATATATATATATATATATATATATATATATATATATATATATATATATATATATATATATATATATATATATATATATATATATATAGATATATATATATATATATATATATATATATATATATATATATATGATATATATATAATATATATATATATATAATCATAAATAAAATATAATTAAAATCAATTATACAACATAATTAAATATTATCCTTAAAACTAATTATACACAATAATTAAATATTCTTAGAAGTAAAATTTGTTTAATATTGTATTAAAATTTCTTTTTTAATTTTTTTTTACAAATAAGACAATTATTTTATATTATTATAATATATAATAAAAGTTTAAAATATCCACTCGCTCTCTTAATATTAAAACTTTAATATTATATTATAAAAATAATTGGTTTTTAGTATATGAATATATGTAACTTTATTTCTTCATATTTTAAAATTAATTATTAATATTATTAAAACAATAATATATAATACATTATTAGCCATTATTAATATATAAAACATGTGATTCTATGGTATAAACAACTCCAAGTAATAGTAACATAAATTTAAAATTGAATATTGATTATGATTTTGTTTATCTTAAAACAAATAATTATTTTCTATTTCCATTTGATTTTTTTTTTTAAATGATTTTCCAAATTATATATTTACGATAGTAAATATAATAATGAATAGGGTATTTTTAAAAATGATTTTCCAAATTATATATTTGCATTTGATCTTGTTGTTTTAATTATACATTTTCAAAATTATATATTTTCATTTCCTCTTACTATGTTGATAAAAAGGAAAGCAAATTCATATATTGCAGTCATCAGTAAAGCAAACTGGTTTTTGTATCTTCTATGGAAGAAGAGTAACAATAAAGTGTTTTTTATAATGCACCACTTTGATTATGATCTATAGTAAATCAATTTTTAAATTTCACTTTCAAATACCAACAATCTCATCCTAGTTTTTTCAAATTTATCTGATAATAAACATGACAATCTCAGCAAACATTACATATTACTAAGTTTACTGTGAAATATCAGCCTAATTATGAAAAATTATTGTATGTGAAATATTAATCTGATTAATCTGAAAACATACATCACAGTCTTAAAAAACATCTGTGTTAGAAATAATTCATATTCAGAAATTATTGTTAGAGTCAGAAGTTTTTGTGACCATTATTCATAAGTAGGGTTGTTCGCGGTTCGGTTTAGATCGATTTTAAGGTAAAAACTCATCAGATCCAAAGATAAATTTATTTGCAGTTCGGTTCGGTTCGGATCGGTATCGGTTTAAGACAAAAATTCAACCGATCCAAAGATGAAATTTACGTGTGGTTCGGTTCGGTTTTAGATGATATATTAAAAGAATCCAATTAAATCATATCCAATTTTATGCGGTCTAATTTGGATCGGTTTTTGGATATCCAGATTACATATTATATTTTTTATTAATATTATTAAAGCTACTAATAAATCAAAGATTTGATATAATATATAACATATAGTATATTAAAAGTTAATATTACAAAATGATAGTGATCGATTATAGTTAAAATAATAAAAATAAATAGATTACACCAAACTAATAAATATTATTAAAAAAATTATTATCATCTAATAATAAATTCACGTAACATATCATACTAATAAAAAGTAAATAAGTATTAAAAATATATGTATGTGGTTCGATTTGGTTTGGATCGGTA